AACCGTGCAGTCTATTTTGCTGTTGTCTGAGTGTTTTGACTGAAACAAATGCCTTGCGCATTAAACGGGAATTGTATTTGCACCCGCATTTGGGGAATGGGGATCAGTGACAGGAAGATCGCTGGACTGTTTTGGGAGCTGGTTTGGAATTTAACAAGGCAAAACACAGCACTCTGCCCTGTTCCCTTTTTATAAAAGCAGCATCTGTAATATCACTAGTGTAGAAAGGATGTTGGCAAATGAGCAGGGACCTCAGTGCCCCTTTCCTGAGTTTCCAAAGAACCACACAATCAGAGTGTATTGGTTGAAATTAAAGTTAACTGAGCCACCAAGAGAAAAGGTGGGTTTAAGCAATTGCTTGAAATTAACTTTCCCATCGAAACTGCTTAATACACTTCCTAAAAAGCGGTATAAATGTGACCGCTAATACTTATTTGTTTCTTCTAATGGGGAGGAGGAGGAGGAGAACTATGTATACCACCTTGAGTTTCTTGGAAATAGGATATAAATGTAAAATAATAATAATAATAATAATAATAATAATAATAATAATAATAAACATTCCTATTGATGCAGGCATTTAATGTCTGAAACCTGCCGTTCCTGGCAATCCTGAAATCATTGGCTGAGAGAATGTGGTCGTTTTAAAACTTGTTTTAGAATGTTTTTAATAGTTCTGATGTGTTTGGCTCCCTGGAATCCTTTAAGAGGAAGGATGTGATATTTAATAATAATAATAATAATAATAATAATAATAATAATAATATAATTGCTGAAGAGCAACAACAGCAAAGGGCTTTTGCTTTCTTGTCTCTGGGGGCTACCCAGAGATGTGCAGGTAGCCATTGTTTGCATCAGGAGTCTGGACTAGATCTAAAGGTAAAGGGATCCCTGACCATTAGGCCCAGTCATGGATGACTCTGGGGTTGCGGCGCTCATCTCGCTTTATTGGCCGAGGGAGCCGGCGTACAGCTTCTGGGTCGTGTGGCCAGCATGACTAAGCTGCTTCTGGTGAACCAGAGCAGTGCACGGAAACACCGTTTACCTTCCCGCCGGAGCGGTACCTATTTATCTACTTGCACTTTGACGTGCTTTTGAACTGCTAGGTGGGCAGGAGCAGGGACCGAGCAATGGGAGCTCACCCCGTCGCAGGGATTCGAACCGGCGACCTTCTGATCGGCAAGCCCTAGGCTCTGTGGTTTAACCCACAGCGCCACCCGCATCTAATCCAGAAGAGCTCAGCTTATGTTCTTATGGCTGGTGTCACACAGGGAGGGATAGCTTGCCCTTCTCTGCTATAGGAGAAGCACAGTTAGATTTCCCCCCACCCCACGCATTACAAGTAATGCTCCTTTGCTCTAGCTAACGATTTGCCAGCTTGGCAAATTTGAAATGGCCCTGGAAGACCCAGGTGCTAGCAAGGTCTTAAGCTCTTTCAGTGGAAACCATGGTATTCCCATGTGACTTGCTGCCCTGATCACCTGAGTGTTCTTTAAAAAGCACCTGCAGAATTTATAATGAGCAAGAAGGCAGCGGAGCCACACAGAGCCGTGTGCCAAGAGACCCAATTAGTTTCCAACGCAGCTGAAGAGCAGGATAGAGCCATATATAAAACCTTGGAGGAAATGTGAAAAGCAGTGGTCTGACACGTTAAAAATATACCTTGCGTAGCACCTCCATGATGAACTTTAATCCCAATCACTGCTCTCCATCTCAGCAAAGAACTTCACTAATGTACCACTGACAAAACCTGCAAAATGTAAGGAGTGTGGATGACCCCGTGTCAGTTTACAATGCTGGTATCTCTGTTTCATTTTGTACATGTAGCCCAAAGAGTGTGCCATCTCTTTGAGAAATGAAAGCAGATAAAGGGCTTTGTATCCTGTTCCACCAAGCCATTCTTGGGACCACTTTGTAGGTTTCCATCTCTCAGATGAACAAAGAGTCTTGTGATGACTTCAGGACTAACACATCTGTTATGCCGTAAGTTTCCATACAGTCCACCAGCAGATGAAATTGCTTATCCCCTAACAAAAAAATATTTAATTTGTCTGCAACTTCAGGGATCTGGTAAGGGGAGAGAAATTGCATGCTGGTTAGTTTAACATCTGTTCTGCAAAAGCTGGAAAGCATAATTAAAGACAGAAAGCTGAAGGACAGAGAAGAACAAGTCTTGCTGGAAAAGAATCAGCATGGCTTTTTCAAGAGAAAGTCTAGTAAAACTACCTTTTAGAGTTCTCTGAGAGTGTCATTAAGTATTGATAGCAACTATCTGGTAGACATTGTGTATTTATTTATTTATATATTATTTCATTCATGGATCATTTCCTAAGAAGCATCTTTATGATATACTGACATTATATAAAACAGTTATATGTATGAAAGCAGTTTAAAACAATTGCATATAAAAACTATTTAAGAAATAGCTAAACTATAAACAGTTTTAGACAACAACACGTATCATAAAATCACTGCTACCAATGGGGAATATTTTTTTTAGAAGGCTTGTTGAAAGAGGAACTTCTTTAGACGGCACCAAAAAGAAAAACAGAGAAGTCTCCTGTCTGATATGAAATGGATATACTTAGGGACCCTGCCAGCTTGGGTTGCATGTGAGACACTTTATATGATGCATTCTGTGTAGTTGGTTCCATTGTACCTTTTGCACAAAGGAATACACAAAGGACCTACTTTTTTCTTCCCATTTATATAATAGCAGGCAATAGCAGGGCATCATTTGCGAATTGCAAACAGGATCAGTAGGAGCCTTCCTATGGATTCTCATCCATGTGTGTATTTTGGGGAAATGCCAACAAAAATTAGGAAAAGCGAAATGTTCCGAGCGGATTAGAAAAAAGAGAACACGTGGAAGCGATAGCAATACAGGGAAGTGATTAAAAAGTGCCAGTTTTGTTCTGTGTTTTATGTGTGTTACTTGTTTTTTTAAAAAGACTGTATCAGGAGGATCAAGCAGTTAAAACAAAGCTGCATTAACGAAGGTTGAACGTTCATTTGTTTAAATGAGGATGGTTTTGGATAATGATCCTTAAGCTGTAAAAAGAGGGAACATGCACAGGAAGAACGGGGGGACTCTGCAGATGGCAATGTGAGAATATTATGTTCTAGCAATAACAGCTGGAGGAAACGATGCCTGACCAGCTGGAGCTTAAAACTCCCTTCTGTTTTGAAGAGGGCAGAGGGTATCAGGGCTGGGGGAAAGTTCCTTTAAACTCGCTATCCTCGTTCGTTGCAGTTCATGGAAATGTTGCGCTCTCATCCGCCACTCTGAAATCCTCAGCTCTATGCAAGATTAAGAGCATAAGGATTGCCTTGCAGAATCAGAGCGATATCCACTAGGGAGCCCATGTGGAAAGGTCAAAGCTTTGCATACCGGTGGTCCCAGCGATTGACACTGTATGGCTGTGACTCTGCAGGGATTCAGGCAGAAGTATCTTACCTGGGGGAGTCAGGGATTGAGCCAGAGAGCTTCTGTATGCAAAGTTGATACTTTACCATTTTATAGAATCACAGGCTTGTAGAATTGGAAGTGGCCATTATTATTATTATTATTATTATTATTATTATTATTATTTATACCCCGCCCATCTGGCTGGGTTTCCCCAGCCACTCTGGGCGGCTTCCAACAAAACACTAAAATACAATAATTAAACATTATTAAACATTAAAAGCTTCCCTAAACAGGGCTGCCTTTAGAAGTCTTCTAAAAGTTTGGTAGTTATTTTTCTCTTTGACATCTGGTGGGAGGGCGTTCCACAGGGCGGGTGCCACTACCGAGAAGGCCCTCTGCCTGGTTCCCTGTAACTTGGCTTCTCGCAGCGAGGGAACCGTCAGAAGGCCCTCGGCGCTGGACCTCAGAGTCCGGGCAGAACGATGGAGGTGGTGACGCTCCTTCAGATATACTGGACCCAGGCCGTTTAGGGCTTTAAAGGTCAGCACCAACACTTTGAATTGTGCTCGGAAACGTACTGGGAGCCAGTGTAGGTCTTTGTTATATGGTCTTGGCGGCCGCATCCAGTCACCAGTCTAGCTGCCGCATTTTGGATTAGCTGTAGTTTCTGGGTCACCTTCAAAGGTAGCCCCACATAGAGCACATTGCAGTAGTCCAAGTGAGAGATAACCAGAGCATGTACCACTCTGGTGAAACAGTCCGCGGGCAGGTAGGGTCTCAGCTTGTGTACCAGATGGAGCTGATAAACAGCTGCCCTGGACACAGAATTGACCTATGCCTCCATGGACAGCTGCGAGTCCAGAATGACTTCCAGGCTGCACACCTGGTCCTTCAGGCGCACAGTTACCCCATTCAGGACCAGGGAGTCCCCCACACCTGCCCACCTCCTGTCCCCCAAAAACAGTACTTCTGAGAGTCATCTCAAGCCTCAGAGACCTTTAGAGACTGAGCACGCAAGCCAGCAGAGATAAGAACTCTTTGCAATAGAAGTAGCGGACAGAGGCATATGTAAGCATATTTACAAGCATTTATTCAGCAACAGGACAAAGGAAAAACATGTCTGCTTCCCTTTGTGTCCAAGCAAACAGCAAAGGCAAAAGCTATATACGACGGAAGTTCCCAGCAGACTGTGCTGGAAGTAAACAGACATGTGACATACAACAACTCCACATGAAGAAGAAGAAGAAGAAGAAGAAGAAGAAGAAGAAGAAGAAGAAGAAGAAGAAGAAGAAGAAGTTTGGATTTGATATCCCGCCTTTCACTCCCTTTAAGGAGTCTCAAAGTGGCTAACATTCTCCTTTCCCTTCCTCCCCCACAACAAACACTCTGTGAGGTGAGTGGGGCTGAGAGACTTCAGAGAAGTGTGACTGGCCCAAGGTCACCCAGCAGCTGCATGTGGAGGAGCGGAGATGCGAACCTGGTTCCCCAGATTACGAGACTACCGCTCTTAACCACTACACCACACTGGCTCTCTAAAGGTGGAACAGAACTGTATCCTAATAGTCTAACCCCCTGCAGTGCAGGAATCTTTTGCCCAACATGGGATTCAAACCCAAGACCCTGAGATTAAGAATCTCATGCTCCACCGACTGATCTATCCCAGTAACTAGATGCGCTTAGCTGCAGCTTTTCCATAAGTGGCAAAGTTCCTTCCTCAAAGATTGATCCAGTCTTTAGAAAGGCATTTCCCAGACTGAAGTTTGCAAAAAGTGCTGGTCCAAACACTTTGCCCCAGCTACAAACTGAACCTTTGGCGAGTGCTTGGGTGTCTGAATGATGTTTGCATCATCCAACAATAAGGGAGTCACAGCTGCCGAGCACTTATACTCCAGCACAGCTTTACATACAAATATGCGCTTTTATATATTATGTACATTTTGCATTCAAATCTATAGAAGACATGTGATATTAATTGAACCTTTCTGAACAATGCTTTGGGCTACCACCTGAACAAAGGGATCGGTTAATTGCTTTGGGTGCCATATCTGGCGCACAGCTTGCCAGACACCCATCGCTGTCCGAAAGTATTTCATACTTTACAATCTCTTTCATAGAATCATAAAACTGTGGAGTTTAAAGGGACCCCGAGGGTCATCTAGTCCAACCCCCTGCAATACAGGAATCTTTTGCCCAATGTGGGTCTCAAACGCATGACTTTGAGATTAAGAGTTCTATGCTCTAGTCTACTGACTCAGCTACCAATCTTCTCTTCCTCTTACCAAGGATAGAGCCCCAAACTATGTTATATTTTGGCTGCAATACTATACCCATTTACTGGGGAGTAAACGCCATTGAACTCAATAGGACTTATTTCTGAGTAGGTTGTGCTGTGACTTTTCTGGTACTTTAAAGAAAATAAACAGCATTCATTATGTTTCTTTCTTTCTTTCTTTCTTTCTTTCTTTCTTTCTTTCTTTCTTTCTTTCTCTCTCTCTCTCTCTCACACATACACACACACGGGCGTGCGCACACACACATATACACCAGAAAAGTAAAAACAGAACCTGCTAACATTCTCCTGTGCTTCTTCCTCAAGGCTACCTAAGGCGAAGTTATTCAGCATCTTGAAAGGCCTTAACGCCTGGATAAACTATATAAACTGCAGGTTAAGAACAGATTAACACAAACTGTCGCACAGAATGTGCTGTCCACAAATAGAACATTATATTTAGGTCTTAGGATTTAGCCTTTGGCTGGACTAGAGAAGAAAAGAAAAGCATAATTGGCTCTCTAGACATGCTAGATTTAGGCTTAAAGAGCCACGTAAGGTGAATTCTGTACTATAGGTTATGGGTCTGGTTTCTGCATTTTGAACGTTTACCTTATATTATGCTTTATTAATATATAGAAAGAGGGGTAAAGAGGGCTGTGTGAAATGCACATTCAAACACATGAGCAGTAGGGATGGGAGAGAAAGTTGATTCAGTTCGCATTTATAGGCAAATCTATTAAATTCTCACTTTCTGAAACAATACGAGAACTGAAACACAGCCACCCTTTAAAATTCACATTTATCCAGATTTTCTGATGCAATTCTCCAACTCTATAATGTTGAAAAAAGTGCACATTTTAGGGGAAACTGCGTGTAAAAATGAATATACGAGTGAAAAATAACATGCAAAATTGCATTTAATCAGCAAAAAGCTTGCAAAAATGTATACATCTGTCAAAACTGCAGATAAAAATGTGTTTATCAGGAGAAGTTCACACTAAAAGGCAGAAATGTGGAAATTGAATTTAAGATTGGAAGAATAGGAAATGGAAAGAACTGAAACTGACAGATTTTTCCATTTTCCCTGAACTGTCAGGTCTGCACAAATAAAGCACGAGCAATTCATTATTGCTATGTTTTTTTTTATTAGTAAATGTTACAGAGGGTTATGAGGATGCCATTTTCAGTGGCAGCACTGTGTCTCCCAAAATGTGGAGTTCCATCCTTAAAATTAGTTTCATGGCCATTTCCTTTCCCCCAGAGCATCTTGGGAACTGTACTCCCACGAGGGACACAAAAGACCCTTGCCGAGCGACAGCTCCCAGAATTCTTTTGGAGGAAGCCATGACAGTTAAACTAGCATGAAATGGTTGTAGTGTTTTAGTGCAGATTTACACTGTGCACATCTTGTTTGCCCCAAAACGTTTCCTTCAAGACTGCTTGGAAGCAAAGTTGATTGTGCGTCCCCTGTAGATTTCCCCACGACAGCTTTGACCATTTTCTTTTATTTTCTGGGCATTTCTGTCATTTTTGCAATGGGTACAAGTCCCACAAGTCTCAATGCCTATTGGGTGGGTTTCCATACCAAACAAGCAAAGTTAATAAGGGGCAAAGGGGCATGGTTTTTCTCTGCTTCCAGTCCTTACCCAACTATATGGTTCTATAGGGAGATGCCATCAAAGTCAGCAGTCTCTCAAGACCTGCATGGCAAAGATTTTCTGCCTTCCCATAACAGCTAAGAAATCTTTTTACCTCCCTGTGGCCTTGCTGTTTTTCCACGGCCCTTTCAGCTTGCTCAGAGACCTCTGGTGAAGATGAGCAGTAAGAAAAGAGATATACTTTGAATGCTCCTTTCCACGAATGATGTCCCCCTGGTAACCACTCTTTCAAGATAAACCTTTCTCTGCGGTTGAGGCAAGGCAGAAAAGCAGGTGGGGATATGCATGCCAGGAAACTGTCCCACTGAATAGGAGTCAGTTGTTAGAATCCCATTGTTATTTTAATTTTTATTATTATTATCTCCTCCTTCAGCTTTTCCTAGACTGGGACTTAAAGCCCAGAAGCAAATGTGGGTGAGGCACTGGATGCAAATTATGCCTTTGTACAGTAGGGTAGTTTCTGCACAGACTCACACATACCCAACTCCAGGGCTGGCCCTACCATGAGGCTGAGTGAGGCAGCTGCCTCAGGCGGCAAATGTTGAGGTAGGGTTGCCATATTCCCAAAGTTGTTGAGTGGTTGTTGGTGGCGGTTTTTGTTTTTGTTTTTTGGGGAACATCTCCCCCCCACAAAAGCTTTCCTTTTAAAGAATTTTTAAATAAAGAACACCCTACTTACCATACGTCCAGGCTTTCCTGGACATTTTGCCAATTCTGAGGAAAATCCACCTGGACACCGTTTTCAAGCCCGTTTCCCAGCTGTGTCCGGGAAAATCCGAACATATGGCAGCCCTAACTGAGGGACCGTGAGTGGAGATATCTCTGTGCATGCACCATACATCATGTCCTGCATCCACTAAACTAAGCCACTGCCCTTAGCGTGCCATGGAGAGTGTTGAGGTAAGAGCCAGTGGTCTGCTGGGGATTCATAGATGGGATGGGACTGGAAGAAGGCAACGTCTTGCCCTTTGCTTCAGGCAGCAAAACCCCTTGGACCAGCCTTGCCTTTTTCTATTTTACATGTAGTGTAAGACTGCTTCCTATGTTCTGGTTGTGTATGGACACCCAAACAAATGGAGAATGATGGGAAATAAGACCCGTTGAATTTAGTAATATGCATCTCCAGGCGTTTATACCTAGGATTGTGTTGTTTGGGTGTGATGCCAAGCACCCAGATAGCCCAGTTCAATGTACTTTCCCCCACAGAAGTAGGCCACACAAAATTTGAGGTGCTTACTACTTAAGGCTGGAGATATATATGGAAGTGAGTTATGCTTGTCAGTAGGATTTCCTTCCAAGAGGCAGCTCTCCCAAGAGGGGGAGGCAAAGAAAAATGGGAGGTGCAGGGAGCTAATCTGACACTCATGTGCTAGGCAAGCTCCTTGCATCTTGCATCTCTCCCTCTCAGCAAGTGCCCCTGATCTGATGCTTTGGAAAGTCAGAAAAGCAGCAATGCCTTGTCCACACCACCTCAACAGCCGCTACTGCTTCCAAGATGTGGCCAGGATGGGATGTCAGGAGCTCAGCCTACACTCAAGTAGGACCCTGGCAGAGACACATGCCCAACTGGCATGTTCTCTCCCTCCTGGTCTTTCGTTCGGGTCTTTCATTCTGGAGCTTCAAAAGCTTTCTTCTGCCTGAACATCACAGCGACTGATGCCAACAGACATCGGCACACTTAGGGATCCGCAGAGCCTGCACAGTTCGCGTGACAGACCTCAGCAACTCAGCATTTTGGCTAATCTACTTTATTTACATATAAACATATAAACACACACGGAGCACTGCAACATGGCTCCCTCTCTCTCTAGCATCAGACAGCAAAGAGAAAAAGAACAAAGGACAATAGTCCCACTTCATGGAACACAGTAACACAAACATCCTGCCTCCGTCACTTTCCACTCTGTGGAGTCAAAACATATACCGTCATGAGATAGACAACAATCCCATGACTGCAATCAAGGAGCAGGAATTCTCACATGGGATGGGGTATTGGCAGCTGTTGTTTGTTATCCATATTTTCTCAACACTCATCTGTTGTGACCTTGCCTGTAACAAGCCATCACTTTTTAAAATCGCTTAGGAGAATTCTTATTGCAACATCTGACTACGACTTAGCCTGGATAAGCATTTAGATGAGATAAGGTTTTATTGTGTTGTACTCCTGACCTCATCTAAGAAGATAGTGAAACTCAAGTGTATTTGTAATATATTCTTGGAGCGATTAAAGAACAAAAAGATTGAGTCCTCGCAACAGGTTGGCCTCACGAATTCCACAAGTAATGTGTACACACACACACACACACACACACACACACACATTGCGGTGGCATATAGGCATGCTTCCTCCTTTCAACACAGCTAGAATTTCCTGTACAAATGTAGCCCTATAAGAACTCACTGCAGAACAAGTAAGGTACTCAAATGCACTCTGTCCTATTTTGGTAGAAACCTTTTTCCTTCCCTCCCTTATATCTCAGAGAAGCTGTTCTTCATAACTGTTTGCTCGAGCCAAGGGATTCAGCAGCAGCCAGCAAAACCAAAAGAACTGTATAAAAAGTAAAGAAAATATGCAGATTCACATGATATTTACAGATCGGGGGGGTTAATCTTTTCTTCATGCAGAATTTGGCTTGCCTTTGCACAGGTAGCTTTGCTTACTGCGGGCATACCCCAGTTTGCTTGTGTGAAGTTGGACAACAATTGTGCTGCATTCCTTTGATTCCAGCACTCAAAAATTGTAATTCAGAACTCCAGTTAACTTGCAAGATAAAAGTTGTGTTTTTCTGAGAATCGCAACTCATGCTACTAAAGAGGAGCAATGACCAATAATCCATTGGAAATCAAAATCATTCTCAGTCTTGGGCAGCACTTACTGAGTCATGTTTCCATTATTGGAAGAACAGGAACTTCAAAGACATGGAGTTGCTCTTCTCTGCTTTCAGTTTGCAAGGATGCGTCTTGAAAAGAACATTCTGTGATGTGCAAGGAAATGAGAAGGAGCACCAAAACAATCTCAAATAAATTTATTCCTGTCATTGCAGGATTAGTAACTAAAGCAGCCTCTTTTTGGCCAGGAACTGAGCAATCGAGTTGCATTGTGTGTGCTTTTCATGCAGATCTTATAAAATGCTGGTCCTGCTGGGAATAATTTAATGGAGCAGTTGTTTTCAAAACTGTTCCAATGAGTCCTGGAGTTCCTTGGAGGATTGTCAGGGGTTCCTCAATGCAAAAGTCAGTAATGGTGGGCAAACCTTCTCTGAAAGACAACTTGCCCACCTGTACTCATCTTCCCTGGGCAACCACAGGGGTATTCCTAGGAAAAACAGAGCATAATAATCTGCTTTATATGGAGTAAAACCACTGTATGCACTGACTAGCAGTGACTCTCCAAGGTTCCAGACAGAAGTCTTTGATGCCCCTACCTGGAAATTAGGTCTCAGACCATCTGCATCCAGAGCATGAATAAGCTCTGGGTTCTGGCTTTTCCCCTTAGACTGTTGTGTGCGGGAGTTCCATTTGTCAATTCAGATGTCATTGAGATAACGAAGACATCAGGTAAACTCCTTTCCCCACTGCTACTGCTTATACACTTCTGGCGGTTCCATCATTATGAGAAGCGAAGTTACAGGGAACCAGGCAGAGGGCCTTCTCAGTAGTGGCGCCCGCCCTGTGGAACGCCCTCCCATCAGATGTCAAAGAAGTAAACAACTATCTGACTTCTAGAAGACATCTGAAGGCAGCCCTGCTTAGGGAAGTTTTTAATATTTGATGAATTATTGTATTTTAATCTTTTGTTGGAAGTCGCCCAGAGTGGCTGGGGAAACCCAGCCAGATGTGCAGGGTATAAATAATAAATTGTTGTTGTTGTTGTTGTTATAAAATGAAAATGTTGGGAGAGCCTCAGATCCGGAAGGCAGTGTGTTACAGGCTGGATTGGGACCTTGAGCCTGTGCAATTGCTTATCCTTACTCTAGCTGAGGAATTGGGCCAGGAATTGAAGATTTACTTCAACCGGTATTGAAGTATTGGCCTTGAAGTGTGGGGGATGAGACCGCGTGTCACACGTGTCCACAGGATTGTCATGAATGATGAAATTCTGCCATCTGGCATGGAACTTGGAACTGCCAAAAGGTCAGCCTTCAGTTTTTTGCAAAGACACACAGCAGGCTTCTAACATCTCTGCCCACAAATTTTTCTAGCTTTGTTCTGCAGTCAGTCAAGGCGTGGCGAAACTCCAGGTGCCAGAGGCGTCTAAACAGGGAAGCTTGTGATAAGATGGCATGACTTTAGCAACCTGCAACAGCTCTGCATTCCCTCCACTGAGCTTACATTCTGGCTCTTTCCACTCCAGCCCACCTCTGCAATCTCCAAATCTCCAATTCTTGACCAAAAAAATAAATAAACGCATTTAAAACTTATTTTTGCAACTGTAATTTTGACAGCAAAATAAAGTAAAATAGGCAAATAGGTTGAGATACATTTAATGTGAAGGAACACCTTCTGGGAAAACAAAGTTAGTTCCTTGAATATAGAATTTGGAACCACACTTTTAAAGGGTGTTGGCAAGTTCAGACATGCCACCTGGGGCCATGTACAGTGGTACCTTGGGTTAAGTACTTAATTCATTCTGGAGGTCCGTTCTTAACCTGAAACTGTTCTTAACCTGAAGCACCACTTTAGCTAATGGGGCCTCCTGCTGCCGCTGGAGCACAAATTCTGTTCTCATCCTGAAGCAAAGTTCTTAATCCGAGGTACTGTTTCTGGGTTAGCGGAGTCTGTAACCTGAAGCGTATGTAACCCGAGGTACCACTGTATTCACTAAGCAGCATAATTCTATGCATGTCTTCTCAGAGATATGTCCCTGGAGTTCAGTGGGAGTTGCACATGCATAGAATTACAGCCTAAGTAATTCCTTGTTAAAAGGCACTCTTTGGTAAGCAGGTATGTTTATTTTCTTTATCCGTGCTTATGTGAAAGGGGTTGTTCATTTTTGGTATGCGTTCTATGGGATAATGGATGAAGAACGTTTAGTTGCACTCTGCTAAGTCTTCAGGAAATATTGTGTGTGGTTAGCACTCTACCAGTTGAAGACAAAGCCTTATCATACACTGCTTGCCTGACTTGAGGCAAGCTCTGTTTCAAGGGGAATGGCTGGGCTGTATGGACCCTGGCTTAAAATGTATGCAGCCAGTCTTACTTGCTTCTGGGCAAAACATTTGGCTTTGAAGCTCAACACTGCCTCCAACTCATTAGGTTGCCGCTTTTCTTTCCTAACAAGCAAGCAAGCAAGTTGTGATTGTCCGCAGCTACAGCCACCAGCTCCCTCTTGACCAGAATTGATTTTGATGGATGAGAACAATGTCTTCTGAACAAACCTGCTCTTGCAGAAAGGCTCAAAAGCAGACCGTGCAGGACACAAGTGCCAGGCTACGCTAATGGGAATTTTTGCTGGTGTTTCGTGAGTGCTTGAAGAGAAGCCAGCCTGACAAGTGCTGTCACACAATTTAACCTCCCACACTATAGATGATTATGTCTTGAACTGCAGAGAACATTTTAGAGTTTACTCTTAACTACAAGGGACAAGCCGTTGCCTGATTTGTCATCCTTGCTAAGGATTCTGCTAATTAGAGCTCCGGTTCATCGGAGGGATTTTCCATGTACTGTAATCCAATTTGGAAATACAAGCAGTATCAGTTACATTCCAAGAAAGCAAAACTCCAAAGAGGCTTCCTGGCAGGTTTAATTGCTGAATATCACAGGTCCGTGAGATAAACATAGCCAGCTCTGAAAGCCACTTCCAATGTTGCAACGTGTATTCTCCGTTTCCAATGCATGGGTTTCTAGCCAATCTGTTGGATTCCTTCAGAGGTCTGTAGGCCACAATTCTGTGCACACTTCATTGAAGATACTTGGACTTACTCCCATGTGAACATGCAATGAATGCACTGCCAATGATTTATAGCAGGGGTATTCAATGTTTCTGCCCCATGGGTCCACTTTCTAATGGAATTGGGTCTTGGCTTAATGATAGAACATCTGATTTGCATTCAGAAGGTCTCAGGTTCAATCCAAGTAGGAGCCAGTGTGGTGTAGTGGTTAAGAGCAGTAGACTCGTAATCTGGTGAACCGGGTTCGCTTCTCCGCTCCTCCACATGCAGCTGCTGGGTGACCTTGGGCTAGTCGCACTTCATTGAAGTCTCTCAGCCCCACTCACCTCACAGAATGTTTGTTGTGGGGGAGGAAGGGAAAGGAGAATGTTAGTCGCTTTGAGACTCCTTAGGGTAGTGATAAAGCGGGATATCAAATCCAAACTCTTCTTCTTCACTTCTTCTAAAATCCTGGAGAGCTGATGCCCATCAGTGTAGGCCAGGCTTCCTCAACCTCGGCCCTCCAGAGGTTTTGAGACTACAATTCCCATCATCCCTGACCATTGGTCCTGCTAGCTAGGGATCATGGGAGTTGTAGGCCAAAAACATCTGGAGAGCCAAGGTTGAGGAAACCTGGTATAGGCAATACTGAATCAGATGGGCCAGTGGTCCAACTAAATATAAGGAAGCATCCTAAGTTTTTTCCACCGATGGCTAAAAATCACTTAGGCCCACCTGCCACAAAATGGTGGCAGATAGATGCAGAGTTTGCCACAGTCAGCTGGCAGTTGCTGATATCATTTTCTACACGTATCGAAGCCCCCTTTGGAAATTGGTAGATTATTTGCCACAACGGGGATTACCGTTTTAGACTGTAAGCTTATCAGGGCAGGAAACTGCCCTCTCGTACTCTATAAAGAACCATGTACACTGATCCAGCTATATTGATGATGACATTGTTGAGATGTTTCTAACCAATAAAGCTCCAAATTCTCTAAGAATCACTATGGAGTGATTCACATTGTTTCTGGTCTCTGGACCAGCACCTGGATGCAGTGGGGTGAGGTGGGTTAGAAACAGTGAGAGTTGTAGTCCACAACATCTGGAAGCCACCAGCTTGTGGGGGTTTGACCCAAGCTCTAAAAATGGAAGGCATTAAAAGTCTAGAAGGTGCAGGTTTACATGCAGCATAATGTATTTATTCTTTCAGATAAAACACACGGGATTTCATTCCGACATCCACAAGAAAAATACACTCGGAAAAGATTTGCTAGTATAGAATTCTCATCATCATGTAAAAACTGGGTCTCTTCCCTGTTCTCATGCAAGTTTTATTATTCCCCACCTTCCTTTGTATTTCTAAATTTGCAGCATATAATCCATTAGGACCCGAATGAATAGCCCACAGCCTTCTTCAACAAAAGCATGAACGTAACTTCCAAATCAGGCTGGTTTATTATGTGTTATTTCAATACTGAGCCTTCATCATCTCAATTTAATTAGCATGACAGACTCAACAAAGACTTCAATCTTCCTGGGCTTTTTTATCTGATAAACTGGAATAATAAGTGGAAGACACACAGGTGACAGTATGCACTGGGGGTGGGAGGTGGGGAAGAGAGAAAGACATTAGAAATGGCATGATTGCCTTTTACCAAACTTATACCAGTGAGATATACTGTATATTAAGAGATACAGTGACCAGATAGTTTGGGTTCTTGATTGCACTTCATTGTAGATTGAAGTCACCTAGTGGTTGACTCTGGTAGCCAGCCCCACTAATGAGAATGTCATGACCGGGGGCATACCTAGGTGTAGGCTAGATTGGCCCCAGGCAAGGGTGCAAGCCCAAGGAGGCGCAAAAATTGTGTCTCACCACACTGGCTTGGAATGGCTAAGAGCCCGCTCGCCTGCCTTTGCACTCCCCAGGTGACTTCTCCACTGTTCTGGGTGCCTCGGTGTAGAAATCCAGTCATTGGTGTGGGGACCACACAACAGCCCTGTGGGGCCTCCTCCTCAGTCGGCCAGCAGTGCTATTACACACACACCAACATGGCGGGGCTGCACAATACAATACCCCTTTTAGAAACCTTTTCTCTTTCCCCCCCTGCACTACAGCTCAAGTGCTGAGATATTGGGAAGGACTCTAGTAGTTAGAAAGTGTTAAAACTCTGAAGCCTGTGGACACTTTCTGAAATCCTCTCGCATGCTACTAGGACCAGTCTCTTCATCTTTGAACTTCTTCAATGCTGCCCAACTTAGAAGAGTAGTGCAGCTTTTCCTAGGCAACGATCGAGGCTGCTCAGTCAGGACGACGATCAGGAACAAAGCTGACGACTAGTAACTTGATTTCGTAGTTTATTATATAGGGCAGTAAACTCACAAGCTATATACAAGTTACTATATACAGACATGAACTTCATCACTCTCCAAGCACTCCAGATTACTCCTTACTAGCCAAACAATGTCATAGGTCATGCTGCCTATAGGAGAGACCTCAGCCAATCACCGAGCTGTTACTAGGTCCTCTTATCTCCAGGCAAATTTCTCCCGTGCTCTGTCTTCCTAGCCTAGGCATCCCCAAACTCAGCCCTCCAGATGTTTTGGGACTACAATTCCCATCATCCCTGACCACTGGTCCTGTTAGCTAGGGATGATGAGAGTTGTAGTCCCAAAACATCTGGAGGACCGAGTTTGGGGATGCCTGCCCTAGCCTGTAGTCAAAACACTAATTGCTCACTTGCCAAGCTGCACATAGACTATGAACTCCAACAGAAAGTGTGTCATGTAGGGACTTGGAGCGGGAGGTGGTGCTTTGCGGTTGAGTTGTAGGTGATTTTTGTTTTATTCTTTTGCATTTCCTAAGAGGGGAGGCTTAAGGCTTTCAAATGGTTCTGCACTACAGTATATGAAGATGGAAAAAGCACAGAAGGCAATACTGTTTGTTGCGTTCCTGGTTTGTTTGTGAGAAGCAGATGCCAAGATAGTGGCAGATGTAGGAGAAAGGGGCAATTTTCAATAGCCCAGGACATAAGGGTCAACAAAGAATGGTTCTTGGCCCTTGGGGAAATTGTGGAAATGGCAACAAATCAGTGCTTAAAAGTGGGGGGCACCATTTTGGAGATAGGGTTTGGCCATTTCTGCCCCTCTGAATCCCATATTAGGATTTTTAGAAGGCACAGGGTTGGAGGCAAGCAATTTCTACTCAGGGTAGACAGTAGGTAGCCATTCTTATTAATTACAGTGGGTTTACTCTGAGTGTGCCTTGCATTGGATACAGCCCACATTTTCCAGCACTTACTGTATGTACTGGGAAAAATAAGCCCATTACCGCTGAGAGATGAATCTCTTCTGTACCAGCGAAAGTCATCCTTGACAGATTATAAAACACTTCCTTAAAAAGGAGATTGGCAGAGCCTGGTTGCCCTTACAATAAAGTCACTCAGAAAGATGAGCGTGTGCTAGAAGCGAGACTCATTTTGCATTCCTGCTTTCCGGAGACGTGTCTTATGCTTTTAACAAAGACATTGAAAATTGCTAATTTTCTCGACTCATTTTCATTCATCAGAAATTCATGACTGAAGTAAAAAAAAAATAGATCCCTGCAGGCTTTTAAGTTTATTGTCACTTTGTTGTTGTTGGGTTTTGTGTTTTGTTTTGGTTTTGGTTTTTTGCTGTTGTGAGGTACTCAGCTCTAATTTATCAATTTAAGGTATTATACAACTTGAACAGCATTTCTTGCTTAACTAATACAAGGTTTTTAATTATAGGTTATGTCTAAGCCCAATTGATGTTAGAAGTGTTAAAGGGTTTGTCCTTCTGGATCTTGAATGTTTTTGTGATAGGGCTCAAATTTAATCTTACTGTGTATATTTAATCTTATATGTAAATTTAATCTCATATGGGTACATATACTGTATATGTACATATACAGAAACATATCTCTATTTAAACTTAAAGAGAATAAAAAGCTTTAATGTGTCTGTGAAACTGTACAAATGGACACACTTTGGAATGAAACTTATTGGTGATTGTGGAAAGGGAACTTCAGTTTACATTTAAAGGTGAACCTACCTAATTCACGGGACGCGAGTGGCACTGTGGGTTAAACCACAGAGCCTAGGACTTGCCAATCAGAAGGTCGGCGGTTTAAATCCCCGCCACGGGGTGAGCTCCAGTTGCTCGATCCCTGCTCCTGACAACCTAGCAGTTCGAAAGCACCTCAAAGTGCAAGTCGATAAATAGGTACCGCTCCAGCAGGAAGGTAAACGGTGTTTCCGTGCGCTGCTCTGGTTCGCCAGAAGCGGCTTAGTCATGCTGGCCACATGACACGGAAGCTGTACGCCAGCTCCCTCGGCAAATAAAGTGAGATGAGCGCCGCAACCCCAGAGTCGGTCACAACTGGACCTAATGGTCAGGGGTCCCTTTAGCTTTACTTACCTAATTCACACTTTCTGAAGCAATACAAGGGCTGAAACACAGTCATCCTTTGAAATTCTCACTTTTGCAATGCAGTTCTCCAGCCAAGTAATGTGTAAAAACAAGCTATATTAGGAAAAATTGCTCTGCAAATACACACACACACACACACACCAAAATTGCATAGAAACATGTATAAGGAGGAATTTTCACGAAGATACTGATTTATTCGTTTAACAAAAATTATATACGAAGTGATTGGGATAACACATCTAAACAGTTAAAAAAAGCATTACAGTTTTATCAATATGATAATTTGATGGTTTTCTTTTTCTTTAACACAAACTGATTTGGAAATGTAGAGAACTGAACATGAGATTAGAAAAATGAGAAGCTGACAGTCAATGTCACCCACCTGGAAACATATGGAAGGTTTAAATTGATGCTGAAGTGGGGTGACATAACCTGTCTAGGAAGAAGGGTCATAGCTCAGTGGTAGATCATCTGCTTTGCATACAGAAAGTCCCAAGTTCAATCCTGGGGATCTTCAGGTAAGGCTGCAGATGTCCCTAGTCTGAAACTCTGGTGAACCACTGATGGTCATTGTGGATAATACTGAGCCAATACTGAGAACTTGTGTGCCAGTTCTGAGCCAATGTTCCTGAGAGAGTTCCAAGACACTGACCCCACCACTTCATCAATTAACTGCCTCAAGATTGCATCCGGTGCTTTCCCACCTAGAAAAATGGGTGCAGGAACTCCCATCTTTTTTTTCTTTCTTTTTTTTGATGGACAACCCTAAGTTGTTGAGCTTCTTTCAGGAGATTTTTTAAGGAAGCGCCAAAGCTGTTTTTAGGGAGCCGCCAAAAACACATGCCACATAGCCTCCCGTAAATAGCTTCTTTCAGAAGAGAAGCAAATCGCCAAAAATGTGTGGATGCATCAACTTGCACCATTGGCGGGGGACAAGCTCAGGAGAGGTGCCGCAACTAAGTTCCAGAGTGTTCCGGCTGAAAAAAAGCCCTCGTTGTATCTAGTGGATATTGGATATTTAGTGGTATTTAGTGGTTTATAGAAAAAGTGCCCGGAGGGAGGATAAAAGGGATGCTAAAATAGGACAAGGAAGAATCCAGTAGCACAATAAGTTATGGAGGAGATGTGTGTATATGAGCGAGAGATCCCAGGATGGAGAAAATAGGTTGCTCTATCGCAATATCTTGGACTGACTCTTTTTAGAGAAGCGGAAGGGAATGCGTTAGAGCTGCATTATCATAGCAAAAAAGGCTCACCATGCACAGCCATAGTTATTTCAAAAGGACACTGAATGTAACGATTGGTTCTGCACAAATCTGTCATGAATAGCCTGATTAATTGATACATTAGATGTTATATCAGCCGCCCGGAAGGATTTGAGTTGCTACCCAGGCACACAAAAGGATAAAGCACAGGGAAGCTTAACCTGCTTGCATTCCTGGAATGAAAGGATTCCCTTCACATTAAGCTTTCATGAACCCTTCTGCAAGCTGAGCCCTGGAAGAGAAGATGCTCTCAAGGTCTCTCTGCACTTTCAGGGAATCTAACAAACATGGATAACTAACATGCCAAGGATATATTTTGCATAGGCCCTGTCAAATGGGTGGTCCTCCAGCTCTTCTCTGAGGTCCATTGCTCTGAGAGGTTTGTACCACATATCTCATTGAATGTATAATCACAGACGTGTAGGAAAAGGAGCAAATAGGAGATCAAAGTAGGTCAATGAAGACCTTTGTGAGCATAATCAATGCTGGAACCCAGATAGTTCCTTTTATAAACCATAGCTACCAGAAGATGTAGCGATGGTCTTCAACTTGGATTTAAAATAGCTTTAGACAACTTCGTAGAGGATAAGTCTATCAATGGCAATTAGCTGTGAGGATCATGTTCTACCTCCACTATCAGATGCAGCATGCCTCTAGATACCAATTTTGGGGAATCACAAGCAGGGAGAGTGCTGCTATATTCAGGACCTGCTTCTGGGCTTCCCATGGGCATCTGGTTGGCCACTGTGAGAACAGGATTCTGGACTAAATGGGCCTTTGGTGTGATCCTATTGCAGATATTAATACAGTGGTACCTCGCAAGACAAATGCCTCGCAAGACAAAAAACTCGCTAGATGAAAGGGTTTTTTGTTTTTTGAGCTGCTTCGCAAGACGATTTTCCCTATGGGCTTGCTTCGCAAGACGGAAACGTCTTGCAAGTTTGTTTCCTTTTCTTAACACCGTTAATACAGTTGCGACTTGACTTCGAGGAGCAACTCATAGAACGTGGTGTGGTAGCCTTTTTTGAGGTTTTTAAAGACTTTGGTGATTTTTGAAGCTTTTCCAAAACTTTCCCGACACCGTGCTTCGCAAGACGAAAAAAACTGCAAGACGAAAAAACTCGCGGAACGAATTAATTTCGTCTTGCGAGGCACCACTGTATTGTGTAGTTTGAAGCAACTAGAAGTATAAGAACTGACTCCTTTTGGAAGATAGCATTGCCCAGACCCATAAAAATATTATTCAAACTTTTACTCGCAGAACTCTTTAAAAACAGTACATAAGCATCAAAGATATACCCAAAATATCCATACAATGTATTGTGCTGTCCAGAACAAGCTCGATGTCTTATAAATAAAAGATAACTTCAAAAATCAAAATGCCCTTTCAAGATGGCGAATTTGCAGCTCAGTACCTTTGTCACCTGATCTAAGGTTACAACACTCACATGTTAGCTAGCAGAAAATTAGTTAATTATCAACTCAGCAAGAGCTCAGAGACCACTTAGAAAAACTACTGCAGGAAAAACTCCAATTGTTAGCAATACACATTTAGCCATTTTCCATTTTAAACCTTCATTAATATACAGGCATTTTCATTTCTGTGTCAATTAAACCAATTATACTTAACAGATCCTGCAGGGCTCTTCTTAGGTCTTTATAACTAAACAGGGATTTCCCATGTTTGCTAGTTGGACAGTTCAGATGTGGAAGGAGTCACTTCTAAGGATACTCCTGAATTTGACCTAGGCTTGAATCTAGGAAGGGATCTCAGGTGGAGGCTAAAAAATGGATTCATTAAAAAAAAATATATATTATTTTTTTGGCCACAATTGAAGGTGAACATTTCCAAAATTATACCCAAACCAAAACACAATCATTTTTGCTTGGAAACTCCTATTCTGCTGTCTTCACATTGCATTGTTTACAGTTTCCTCTCAGTGCCAGGAAGCCCATTAAAGCCGAGTGGTGGTGGGAGTGGGGCATGCCTGATCTCAGAGAGTCCTGATAAAAGATGAAATTGTTTTCCTCCAAACAAGTCAAGAGTATGAGATTTCTCACTCTGAAAGTTGTGCCGTATTAAATGGCCTTAAAGATTAAAGGCATTCTGAGATCAAAGAAAGAGAACGCGATAGAGATCTTGCTTTATATATTTATTATATATATAAGAAAAGACAGGCATTGATTTGTTGGCTGCCAGGGTCTCACTGCGAATACTCAGTCCTCTTTCTATTCATTCTACCTCCCAGGAACTGGTATCAATTTAAGCCTATCTGGTAGGATATCACTATCGTGTTGTTGCTTCTGTTTTAGCAGTTAAAAGGGCACAATACATTATTGAGTAGGCTTCGAGAGTGCAAGTCAAGACTCTTTTAAAATGTTAATGTGGTCCATACCAACAGATTTGTGAAGGTTATAAAAAATGGAAGGATATAGGAGGCTAACGCTTGGGTTTATTTCTCATTTTGCTGTTCTGAAAGCTTTTTGGCTTGGTTTTGCTTTTCTTCTGTGCTAGATATTTGTCATTTATAGAGTATGCACAGAACAAGAACACAATGAGGACTGTGGAATGGTTCCATTTAATTGTTCCTTTAAACAATTCATTGATTGAAAACCAAAGCTTAAACAAATTGATATATAAAATGACCGTATTTTTCCGTGTATAACATGCCCCCGTGTATAAGGTGACCCCTGTTTTTTGGGACACCAAATTAAGGAAATGGGGGGGGAGATTGCCCTGGGTTGTTGTGCTTTGGGGGGGTTGCCGAAAAACACTCACCCGCCTGATCGCCAATGGCAATCTCATGCCTTGCCGAAGCCACCTGTCGTCTGCACGCTTGCCGCCAGCAGCCGTCAATCGCCCACCCAATTGCCGCAGCTGCAGCTAATCATCAGCAGGCCTTGCCGCAGCAACCAATCACTTGCCCAATTGCCGCTGACAATCTTTTGCTCACAGCTGTCACCAATCGCCTGTCCCCCTCTGCACTATCTATGTATAAGGTGACCGCATAAAAAAAACATAGTCTTATACACGGGAAAATACGGTATGTTTCTAAGTTCACAGCCTTGGCTGAATTGGCTCCCTAAGCCTAGCAGAGGGGGGAAGAAAACATTTTTCATTTGAGTTTGAGTTTTACTGGGTTGGCAGGTTGCATCACCTAGCTGAACTGGCTAAGGATCCACCCTAAATCTCTCTTCTGGTCCCCCCCCCACACCACACCCCTTTTTAAGGTCTTACGCTAGTTTAAGATTCAAAGGGCTTGGATCAGCTAGCTGACTCCAGCAGAGCCAGGATTCGGAACAACATATTTCTGATCGAGCCAGGGATCTCCTGGTTTAGGCGAAATCCCACTGACTCCTAACCCAACTCATTGCGTCACATCTAGCCTTAGGGTTGCGCCCTTTTACTAAATAAACTCTCATGTTGGTTTATTTATTTATTTTAGAATTAAGCCTCGGGGGAGGGGGTGTAGCCCCAAATGTGTGCAGCTGTAACTGGGATTCCATCACTGACTCTGTGAAACAGCACTGTTAGTGGCCCAATATATCTGGGTAACTTGTTACCAAATATATCGGATCAAAAATATTCTGCAGAACATGACCCACTTAACTAAACCATTGGATATCAGGAATTTTAGAAGTTTCTAGGTATCTGCTGTGGTCATGTGTCTACACTACTTCATCTTTTTTTCAGATTACACTGAATTATCTGCCTAGATCAAGACAGCAGGGAGCAATATTTTAGATGCAAGATGCATCAGTTTTAATCCCTGGCCTCTCTAGGTAACGGGATAAAGTAGCACATGGTTTGAAAGATGTATAACCCCTGAGAGAGAGAGAGAGACTCTCAGTCAGAGCAGACAATGCCTGGGCTAAATCATCACAGAGCTGGTATAAGGCTTTGCTTCTACATCGTGCAAATTAAGTATGCCAGTTCAGTGGTTTTCTCAGCAAGAAGATCTGGAAGGCTATGACAGGCAAGCTTTCCTGAAAGACAGCTTGTCCGCCCACTACTGATTTTACTGCAGCTTCCTAAACTTACTGCGATGTGCAGGCACATGATAGTGTTGGGTATATAGCAGAGTTAGCAGGCGCAAGGGCAAGGCACACCAGGCCTGGCCAGGGCCCCATGTCAGCTGAGCAGTGGAAACCACTGCAACACAACAGCTTAGAGCAACATCGCACCCTCCAGCTCCACCTCAACCTCTGCACATTCCCACTGAATGGAGCCTATGGACATATGGTCCCTCTC